GATTGGAGAAGAAGGATTTGGGCTGGTTTTGTGTCTGGTTTAACCGCCCATTACCTAAAAGCATTGTTTCAGTGTGTGCTTCCTGGAAGTATTTCTCCTGGGAATTGTGTGTATGAGTCTCCCTTCCTTTATGTAGCTGTGGTTGAGGGCACCTTCCCCATGCCCTCTCATTCAGGTTGGTTAGGAGCTCTTTAGACTAATGAGTTCTGGAATGAGCAGAGATAGCCTTGAAAACCACCACAACTATTTCTGTCAAATAGAGCTGTCATGCCAGTTCACTGGAATATTTGTGCTTTTATAGTATGTTTATATTCATACTTTACAACAGTGTTATATTTTACCTGAAAGAAACAAGAAATGTAGATGTTCTGTGCCTCAGGCTGAATTGTACTGTTATGCTTAAAATCTCCTTTACTTATATTTCAAGAGACACAAGGAAAAAAATAATAGTATCCTGGCTAAGTTCTCTCTTCTTTTCATTTTTCATTTTTAAATTTTTATTATTTATTATTAGCATATTAATTATTACAAATAATGATTTTTCTTTATGCCCTTTACCTGACCTGTCACTCCCCAAACCCCCTCTCTTCCTCCCCCTATCTCTAGTACCCCATCTCTAGTATCTTAGGTTTGTTCTCTCCTTGTGAAAAGTTCTTCATATTGTTGTGGTCTTTTCTTCCTTCCTTCCTTCCTTCCTTCCTTCCTTCCTTCCTTCCTTCCTTCCTTCCTTCCTTCCTTCCACGTTGTGGAAATGACATGCTTATTGTGATTATTCTGTCCAAGTTAAATAGATAATTAAAAGTAGTGGTAAATATTATTTTCAAAAGCAGTAGAATTGTGGCTTCCAGTAACATACAAGATTTATGTATCATGATGAAAAGGAATATAATTGTATGTATACACACAATCTATAAGCTCACGTATCTACTCACAATTATTCGTAAAGTTAGCATAGTTGTTGCCTTTATCTGGTCCCAAGATAATCTTCAAAGAACCCACTAG